GAGCCTGCAATGCGATGCTGCGGCTAGTAAAGCGAGCAAAACGCTGGCTTGCATCCATAGATGCTTCTCAAGCAAATCCCGGGACGTCTTTCTCCCCTTGTACTCGGCCTTGGTGAGGCCGCAGCTGGAGTACTGCGTCCAGTTTTGGGCCCCACAATTCAAAAAGGATGTGGAGAAGCTTGAGAGAGTCCAGAGAAGAGCCACGCGTGTGATCAGAGGTCAGGAAAACGGACCTTACGACGACAGGCTAAGAGCCATGGGGCTCTTTAGCCTGGAAAAGCGCAGGCTCAAGGGTGATCTGATGGCCACCTATAAGTTTATCAGGGGTGACCACCAGTATCTGGGGGAACATTTGTTCAGCAGAGCACCCCAAGGGATGACGAAGTCGAACGGTTATAAACTACTGCAAGACCATTTCAGGTTGGACATAAGGAAGAATTTCTTTACTGTCTGAGCCCCCAAGATCTGGAATGGCCTGCCGTTGGAGGTGGTTCAAGCGCCTACACTGAACACCTTCAAGAAAAAATTGGATGCTTATCTTGCTTGGATCCTATGACCCCAGCTGACTTCCTGCCTTCGGGCGGGGGGCTGGACTCAATGATCTTCTGAAGTCCCTTCCAGCCCTAATGTCTATGAAGTCTATAAAAAAGACAGAAAAAAGTGTTGCATTAATGTAGATTAAATTACTGCAGGGACTGAAGTTTTCTCTTTATAGAAAATGTTTACCTCTATGTAAGAGTAATGAAGCGTATTGAGAACTGCTAGGGGAATATATCATTAGCAACTACAGTGATAACCAAGGGGTTTAATTTTCATTTGCCACAGATCAGTTGGAATATTGAGGTGTCAAATGATGGAAAATGAATGCATTATATTAAATTAGTAGAAGACCAGTTTTTCTATCCATTTAAGTAAATGACAACTGTAGAGGGTAACATTTTTAGATATTTTCCTCTAATAGAGAATATATTGGAACTGTGCAGTCCAAAGCATCCAGCAACTTTAACCCCAATTTTTCCATCTGTAAACTGGTAGAGATTTGAGGGTTTGTAGTAAGATGTTATTTCCCAGTTATTGTCAGTAACATTTTTGGGAGGGGAGAGGGGCAGGGTTAAGGCTAAATTCTGCTTTTGGGAACACCTATGCAACTCTGTTTTCAGTCTTTTCCCTCTGTGACACACTTGTACATGATTTTTCAGAGATCTTATAAAACTCGTAACATGAGTTTTTGGCCCCAATGAAGTCAGCAACAGAAATCCCTTTGATAAGAGCTTTATTTATGGCTTTTAAGGCCAGAAGGGACTGTATGCTTACCTTTTCTGGCCTCCTGTATAAAGTAGGCTATAGAACTTTGCTCAGTAATTCTTGCATAAGGTTGAAGTTCTAATTAGTTGCACAGGTGTAATTGGTTGAAGCTTAATAAACAATTCTGTTGGTGCACAAAAGTTACAGCATCATCCAGGTTCTTTTCTTAATTGTGTGGGCTCTGCAAGGAGAACAAGAATAAAAAGTCATAAAAACTAATTTTTGTCTTTTGAAGTAAATAGAACTGACTCTGAATATACACAGGGACTAGATCTGTTGAGTAGGAAGGTGCAATTTTTACATAGTCACTTTCAGAATAGAACTTACCACATTCCATATAGTTATCCTATTTTTGCTTAGCTACATTAATACTTGATTCCACTACATTAGTGAAATGTCCATTCCAGCTGTTCTCTTTTTAAAAGAAGTGGCTCTGTACATTTATATTGGCATACATTTCTCCTTAATATAAATCCTTATATTCTCTGCTCCCTGGTCATTGTCCTCATCAGCAAGTTAAATTAAAAATAACTTTTTGAGAGTTTAACTTCTTTCATCCTGTCAACATGTAATAGTCATTCTCCCTCAAGAATAATTATTCCCACTTTCCTACAGTTTTATCTGATGTATAAATCCTTCTTTTATATCTCTCAAATTATTTGGCTTGTGATTATTATCTGTCTTTTATTTTGGGTCCCAGAAATGGAGACTATCTTTCAAAACCTTTCAAACTGGGGGTGTGAAATATGATGGTCTATCAGTATTAGAACAATACCCTTTGATTTATCTATTATGCTTTTCTTGGTAGCCCTCCTTACTGCTTATATGCACTGGAACAAGGTCTATCAATTTTTTCCCCCAGGGATCACTGCTTGGGCCCATGCTCTTTAACATCTTTATCAATGACTTGAATGAGGGGGTGGAAAGCACAGTGATTAAGTTTGCAGATGACACTAAGCTGTGGAGAAATGTGGGCACATCTGACACTAGGGTGAGGATCCAGGATGACCTCGACAGACTGGTCCTATGGACTGAACGTAATCGGATAGGGACAAGTGCCAGGTCCTTCATCGGAGTAGGAAGAACCTTCAGCACAACTATATGATGGGTGGTGGTCCACTGTCTGGCACTGCCGGACCTGGGGGTGACAATCAACTCAAAGATGAATATGAGTCAACAGGACAATGAGGTTGCCAGCAGGACAAATAGAACTCTGGCAAGTATCAGCCAGTGTGTTGCGAACAGATCCAGTGAGGTGCTCCTTCCCCTCTATTCAGCATTGGTGAAGCCACAGCTGGAGTACCATGTCCAGTTCTGGGCACCGCAGTTCAGGAAGGATGTGGATAAGCTCGAAAGGGTGCAGAGAAGGGCCACCCATATGATCAGGGGCCTGGAGGATAGGCCCTATGAGGAGAGACTTCAGGAACTGGGTTTGTTCAGTCTAAGCAAGAGAAGACTGAGAAATGACTTGATAGCCGCGTACAATATGCCAAGGGTGAACACCATTATCTAGGGGAGCAACCCTTCAGAAAGGCACCCCCAGGGAAGACAAGGACCAATGGGCACAAGCTAATTGAGGAAAAATTTAGGTTGGACATTAGGAAAAACTTTTTTGTAAGGGTAACTAGAATCTGGAACACGCTCCAAGCAGAGGTGGTGCAGGTCATTTTGGGCCCACCAGCTGGATTCAGCCTACAGAGGGACCTTGTCTATCCAGCCCATGGGGCAAAAAGGTTGAGCACCACTAGCCTAATCTATCCCATGAAATTTTAACTGCTTTTTCTAACTTGGTAGCTCTGGGAAAGTTAAAGATTTTGCCTATTTTGTATTTTTGCTTGAACTGTTAACAGCTATGTCTTATAGCTCATCAAATTAAACAAAGACCATCCTTTTTTTGCTTTCTACCTATTAGTCAGACCCCACCCTATTTTAATAACTTATTACCTGACCCATGGGTTGATATGCAGCAAAGTTTCATGTGAAACTCTCATGTGCATTTTCAGACAGCTTTCATTATTGGAGAAAAAAAATCTCTTTTTATCATTTATAGCCAAAGTCAGCTTCTTTAAATTAAGCCTCTTGACATTGCCAAAGCCAGACTAATCTCCCTCCAATTTCTCATGTCCTATCTCATTTCAGAGTAGATTTGTTTGTTTGTTTGTTTTTGTTGTTGTTGTTGTTTTGGGGGGTGGGGGGGGGCAGTTGTTGGGGTTTTTTGCACATTTGGTTCAAATTGCATCATGAGTTCCAGAGAGATTCAGTTTTAAAATTGCCTTTAAAATCATCATTTATTTTTCAGTAAACCCTCCCAAAAAAATACTGTTTTTTTACTTGAGAGATTCTTGAGATGAGATGAATCAATGTGAAGATTGGCAAAGCCAAATTTAGCTTTCTACTGAGGAAGGAGGGAAAAGGCATGCTTTCCATATTCTGGGCAGTTTATAAAGTTTCAACTTCTCTCAATATTTTGAAATGTTAGCATTTTTGAGAACTCTAAAATACATTTTCATGGTAAGTTGATGAGTTTGATTGGTTCTTTGATCCCTAACTCCAATATAGCAAAGTTTGTACCTGGAACTTTTGAACAAAAGGAAGCAGTACATTTAAGATGGGTGGAAGATTGGGCAGGGTGGCATCTTAGAGATTGGTTCAGTACACTTGTAGAGATGGAGCTGGATTGTTTTTTTTTCTTGGCTACCATCAACAAAAATTAGTGACTTTGAATAGTTGTGGTTCAAATAGGTACCCTTGTTTGCTATGGGGAGTTTACATAGGTCATAGGAGGCGGGAACTGAGGACAGTGGGGAACACTGAGGACATATATTTGCTTGCACAATGATTGTGAGAGTTGGTAATGTTTGAAACATTAAAAGAACCCAGCTTGCTGTTGAGAGTTTGACTGTAATTTGCAGTGCTGGAAGTTCTTATTTGCAAATTAGAATATATTTGTTACAGAAATCACTGAAAAATAAGTAGGGACCTCCACAGTGCCACTTTTAGCTGCTTTTCAATGTTCCAAGACACATCCTTCTCTTCTAAAGAAAATCAAATTGTTTGAAAATATCTGTTAATATATTTTACCTTATATATTTTCTCCTAGGGACTCAACAATGTCCCATTACAGCAAAGCTGAGCAAGATGACTGGCTGACGATATATCTGAAGTATTTGTTGTTTGTGTTTAATTTCTTCTTTTGGGTAAGTAAGTCTTCTTGGTAATTCTATGACATAAAATTGCTATAAAGTTACTACCTTTTCCAATGAGAAGATAGCTGTTTTGCTCTTCATAGGTGTGACTGGAGTGATAAGAGGGCATGGAGCCTGGCAGAGGTCCCACCAACGTGCTCAGTAATGCTGTATAACTAACTCCATTAAGGTTTGACATGAGCTAGGTAGAGAATGTGTTTATGGCGTGGTAACAATATTTCTTTAATTCATAAGCCCATCTCTATTCAGCAAAGCATTTAAACATGTGTTTAACTTCAGGCTGAAGCGAAGCTCCATGTGTACGTTCCTTACACCGTGGTTGATTCCAATGGAATGTACACTTGCCAAAAAAAAAAAAAAGGTCTTGACTACACTGGGAGGTTTGTGCACTGAGCTAGGGTGGGAATTTCCAGTGGTTTGGTGCCTTGTCACACATTCACTTGCAACAGTTGCAAAACATTGGAGTGTGGTAACCTATTGAAGTCAGTACATTTTAGGAGATAACCCTCTCCTGAAATGGAACACTTTACAGTGTCATGACAACAGGTGCTGAACTGCTTGAATGTGCGTCTGCTCACATGCTAACTGTACTAAGTGAGGGTGAAGTTGCACATTACACTTAGATCATACTAAAAGCACATAAGATGTGAGTGTCTGCATGTTCATGTTCATTTACTTGTGTTAAGTACCATCTGAGCATCTCAAAATTAAGCCACTTCAGGTGAGGATTAACTTTGAGCTGTGCAACCTAGCTTGTGTTAGGGTAACTTAAATTTGCTCCACAGAGATAAAACATGCAATTTGCAGTCCTCCAGCATCCCAGGATGCACCATTCCTAGACCTTCACACCCCCTCTCCCCCCAAGAG